GTGAAACACAGTGAATTGTAGTGAGGCAGTGAAATCAGGGTGAAACACAATGAATTGTAGTGAGGCAGTGAAATCAGGGTGAAACACAATGAATTATAGTGAGGCAGTGGAGGCTCAGAGAGCAACAGCTCAGGAGGAGAAACACTGCGGACAGCCAATGCCAGGTTTCCACATCGCTTTGCAAATTTGCCATGTTAATGGATAAAAAATAGAAAGTTCATCACCCACAGCCTCATTAAAATCCTTGGATATATGTAAGGCATTTTCCTCACTGCTTGCCTCTCAGGCTGGTCTACTGGTTGAATCAACCGCAATAAAAACGCAGACCTGATAGCAGCTTCATATTGCAGCCTTCCTAACCTAATTGTGACTTCAGTTCTCAGAAGCTGAATGCTGCAACAGCACTCGCACAGGAAGTAGAAATATGACTTCCTGTGAGTAGTAATGTGTCATTTACAGAGTGAAATGTCAGCTGATGGCTGCAAGCCGAGCGCACTGTAAACTGATGGCATCAGGCAGGAAACGGCAGGTTGACATGGGAAAGCTGGAGTGATGTCATATCCAGGTCACTCCTGTTTTGAATTTAAAGAAGGACACAACGAGGCTACAAAATGGCAGCGATGTCTGTGAGAAATGTAAAGTATTTTTATTCATTGTTACATGATTATGTTACCGGTGCCCTTCATTTCTATAATTTATCACTATTACTTACTTTCCTTTATTGTCCCAGCTTTGCAGGCAGGCAAAAGACACAACACAGTACAGAATACATTGAACCCAACATGAGCAGTTTAACAAATGAGACAAACAAATATGCTGAGAAAGAACACATATATGAATAAAAATACAGTGTTAATTGTCCAATTGGTTAATTGCCATGGGAATAAAAGATAACTTGGTTCACTTGCACTTGAATCTAAGCGGTCTATCTCTGCCCAGAAGGAAGGAGCACAGATTCTCTGTGCAAGGGGTGGTCACGACAGCCAGTGATAACATCGCCTTCTGCAGTTTCTTTGACATAGATGTCTGACAGCTGTAGCTATTGGGCCCTGATATGTCTCTGGCTGCCGTCACGATCCTGCTCAGTGTGTTTTTACTACTTGAATTAAATCTTTGAACAGATTCAGTGTAAGTTCTATAGTATAGAGTCAATGCTGTAGTACACACATCTAAAAGAGTGGTGTTTTCCTGGGAAGAACAGTCGCTGTTGGGTTGTCTTACATACGACATCCATGTTTTCCTCAAAGGATAGTTTGTAATCAACAGCAGTGCCGAGATATTGGTCATTTTTTCCAATTTAAATTTCTTGCTCCTGAGTGACTGTTGCTTTTGTGGCTGGTGGTTGCTTTCTATAATCAACGATCACGTCTTTTGGTTTCTGACACCTTAAGTTGAAGGAAGGAGTTGCTCCACCATTCAACACAATACCACCCCACAGGCCCGTGATCAGTGTGTTTGTCTTGGAGGGTGTGGACAATGACAGAGTCCTCAGCTAACTTAATGAAGTGTCTGTTTCTCCAATGGGCTTCTGCAGCTGTGTGTATAGAGAGTGTATAGGATGTGGGACAGCACACAGCCCTGAGGCAACCCAGTGGAGAACAAAGGTGCTCTGATGTAAGACAATTTGCCCTCACTCTTCATAATCTGTTGGACAAAGTATAAGATCAACCTACACTATTCAAGTAGACCATTGAATAGTGTGGTTTAGTGGTCTCAAAGGCTGATTTATTTCTATAAATAAAAGCCTTGTATGTGTCTTGGGACCTCCTAGATGTGAACATAAGGGTTTCAGTAATGTGAGGGTAGCATGACATGAGGTAGACTCCTTGTGTCATGATAACTGGAAATATAATATTCCCTGTTTTGATTACTAGCTGCAGTAAATGATCTGTGGATCTTGTTACTTTTTTTGAAGAATCCCAGTTTATAAATTTCAACAAAATGCCTGGGCCACTCGTTCCAGATTCCCATAATCCTTTGTCTGGGCTGTATCATATTGTAACCCTACCCTCCAGAGATCACTGGTCCAGTCTGTGTCCTATTGTACCCCTACAGTCCAGAGATCACTGGTCCAGTCTGTGTCATATTGTAACCCTACCCTCCAGAGATCACTGGTCCAGTCTGTGTCATATTGTAGCCCTACAGTCCAGAGATTACTGGTCCAGTCTGTGTCATATTGTAGCCCTGCATACAGTCCAGAGATCACTGGTCCAGTGTATGAGTAGTCTATGAGTAGTCATGTGCTACTGGCTTTGGGTGGGCTCCAGTTAGCCAGGGTTTCCTTGGGTCTTTCCAGGGTGCCTGTGATTGTGTAGCGTTGTCCACTGGAGACTTCTTGCTCCTCCCTGCAATGTTAATCTCATCTAAGCCTCTGTGGAGGTGGCAGCAAGTCCCAGGGCAGAGGAGAGTGTCTTCTTTTCTTTGTTTTTATCTCAGTACACCAACGTAAATTGTTGTAAAGTGCAGTGTTACCAAGCAAGTAGCCTGGTCTTGTCAGAACCCACAGTGTATTAACCTGTCTTTCTCTTGCAGTGCAGTGTGTACAGTGTGTATTAACCTGTCTTTCTGTTGCAGTGCAGTGTGTACAGTGTGTATTAACCTGTCTTTCTCTTTCAGTGCAATGTGTACAGTGTGTATTAACCTGTCTTTCTCTTGCAGTGCAGTGTGTACAGTGTGTATTAACCTGTCTTTCTCTTGCAGTGCAGTGTGTACAGTGTGTATTAACCTGTCTTTCTCTTGCAGTGCAGTGTGTACAGTGTATGATCCTGTGTCTATCTTATAATGTATGCCATGTGTCTTTCTTTCCATATACAGTATATATTTTTTAATGGTTTTATCCAATGTAACTCCCATCTGCGGTCATGTTCACTGCAGGGTATATATTACCAGAATCATTCAGGTAGCCCTTGTCTCTCTCTGTCCCAGTGTGGTGCGGGTTCGAGCAGTGGTGATGACCCGCGATGATTCCAGTGGGGGCTGGGTCCCCCTGGGGGGCGGTGGCCTGAGCCACGTGATCATCTGCAAGGGGCGGAGCCTGGAGGACAGGGGGCGGAGAGATTACATCATCCGGGGGGAGCGGCTCAGGGACCGGGCGGTGAGTGTGCGTGTGTCTCTGTGGGCGTGGCGCTGGGTCGAGCACATCTGGAGCCCCACACGGGGCTCGGGCCCCCGCTGGGCAGGAGGGACCTGAAGGAACTGGCAGCAGGGCTCGTTCCAGAGGAGACTGATGTGGTTGTGGGGCAGTGCTGGGGGTGTGTCCAGAGCTAGGTCCGCTGTGTGTGACATCAGCGCTCGGAGAAGCAATGAGCTCTTTCTCACTGTACATTCGAGCGCCGCGTCCGTCAGGGTGTGACTGATATCTGGACACCAGGATCAGGATGTCATTCCTGGTCCACTTGCTCACAGAGAGCGCTGCGTGTGCGGTACTTGATTGTGTTGTGTTCTACATAGATGTGAGGGTGTTGTATTGATCATGATGTGTAGTATATTGATGTGAGGGTGTTGTATTGATCATGATGT